TATATTTGTTATTTATGGGTATGTTTATCATGTTATACTGTATTCAATGTTATGTTGAGTATAATATAATGCATTGTATATATCATATCATTCAGTATTTTTCTTACCCTAAAAGCATTCTTTAGGTCTTTTATGAATTAAATTTAAAATTCAAAGTTTCAATCCATGTCTATCTCTATCTTTATTTCTATACATTTATATTATTGTATTTTAAATCCAAATCTTTAAAACTTTAACTTCAATATATTATAATATCTTATACAGAATATTCTGATGCATTATTCTTGATTAAATAAACATACTGTTCAAGAATTAAAAATAACAAATTCTCGGCCGATTTGTACAAGTTTTAACTCGTGTATTATATACTGAACAGTTGTGTTCACTTTGTGGACGGTTTCTAAAGTGTATAATATATTTACATAAATGGGTCAACTCTTGTCGTCTGACAAAATATTTTAGTTTTTCGGAAACAATTTTTGATCCAAACTTTGATCTCTAAAAGTAGATCTCATATATATTTACTCTTCTGTTCCGTATTTACATAAATCAATATTAAATTCTCGCTTTAAATCAAACACAGAATCTTAATTCTATATATATTAAGAAATATTATACCGGTACATTGAAATTGTATTTTAATAATTTATTTATTCTAATACCATGTAAATACTTTATATTTATGTTTAATATATGTCGAAATAAAATTCAGTGTCGATAGTGAGTATAATCTATTTTCTAGTAACTAGACCATCCATTAATTACTTATAATTTGTATTCCAAAAATTATATTTAGGATATTTTATTAATTTTCAAATCCTTTGGCAAAATATTTTAATAAATTTTTGGTCGTTTGAAAAATTACTAAATATTAAATAATAGCTAAGAATATCATAAACATAAGTGCTATTCATGAGCGTAATAATACAGAATATTATACAAAATAATGACAAATATTATATAATAACAAATAAAATGCCATTTTTGTAGCATTAATATTGAGATATCATTACAATAACATTACAGAAGAATAAGTTGTTTAAAATATTTTTCATTTATAAAATTTATAAAAATATTTTTCAATGTATTGTTCAGTGAATTCTGGAATGCGATTATAATTTGCATACATTTTTCTATTATTATATTTCTCTATCCTTTTTCTTCTTTATTATCGTCGCTGTTATTGAAGTCATTTTCATATAATATATTAGACATACAGTTGTGAATGAATTACACATATAATAAGTAAATTAAATTATTAATAAATTGATCCCTTAAACTAATTTTAGAGATAATATATATGACAAGTATTTGTTTATAATCCAAATGATAGAGAGTGACAGATCAGGTCAGTCTACTTGATATTATGCCTACGATTCTTGACTGGTTTGATATATCGCTCCCGCAATACAAACTGTTTGGCAAAAAAGTGCGCTACACCGGCAAGTCATTGATTCCCTTCACTAATCAGGTATACATTCATACAAAAGCTTTGATTCATATAATTAATTCATTCATTTTGTATATTTTATTTAAATAACCCTTTTTTCTACGCTATGATATTTCTATTGCATTCGTATTACATGTAAAGTGTGGAGCAATTTATTTTCTTAACAGACATGAGACTTGCATTTATGAATAATTTAGTTTTCTTTTGTTTCCGTTAACCCCATAATAACAGTTAACCCATTCATTAGACTCTAAGCCCACACTTGACATTAAATTTAAGTTGATTTTGAATTCACTGTATATTAATATAAATACTTTAATAGAAAAGCAAATCATTTATTTAACATCGAGGAAACACAACAAACTTTTGAACAATTCGTTGTCTATTTTATATATTAAATAATTGATTATTCTTTTGATATTTTCGTTCGTCAAAAAAAAGGAAAGACATGAAGAGGTGAGGGATGTGTTTGGGAGCCATTCATGGCATGAGCTGACAATGTATTACCCGATGCGATCAATACGTACCCAACGCTATAAACTGATCCATAATCTCAATCATTACGCGCCGTACGCTATCGACGAAGACCTATACCTCGCGCCGTCGTTTCAATACATACTGAACCGAACCCATCAATCGCTACCAATTTATTGGTTTAAAACATTACATCAGTATTACTATAGACAAGAATACGAGTTATTTGACTTGAAATATGATTCAATAGAGGCTAATAACATATACTCTGATATGAAATATAATAATTTTACTAAAATGTTAAAGAAGAGACTGAGGGGATGGATGTCTGCGACCGGCGATCCCTTCATATGTTCGCCGCATTCAGTATTAGAGGACACCGGAGAGTATAAATCCAAACCAAAATGTTTGCCATTATTTAATCACAGAAAAAATATATTATAGAATATGATATACGAATCCGTGATTAAAAATATATATTAAGTTATATTTATAACATATAAGTTATAACAACTATATATTGCTATAAAATCGATGAATAGCTCAGAATTTCTAAACATAAACCGCAATAAGAAAAACTCAATTTGTGAGACGTCTTATTGATGTTTGATTTTTATGTTTTCTAGTTTCTAATGTGGAGACCAAACAGAGTCTTCACAATATTCACAATACT